GTGATGTGAAGGACTGAGTAAAAAGGAGATGATGAGTTTGTTTTAAGAAGGATTTGAGGCGTGGTTTTCTCATATTAACCATTTGAAACATTGTATGATACTGATATATTCCCGATACGAATGATGATGATGACATAGATGTGATATCCTTTTTTGTGTGGAATATTGGTTCAATTTATTGGGCAATGTGTGGGCATTTCGGTTTCTTATACTTGTTTAGGTGAATGAAGTTGCTAATATTTTCTCTGTAAAGAGTTTGAGTTTGCAGCTGTTAATTTCCGCCCCCTCCCACCCTTGCGTGCTCTGTTTAATATTTTGTTTACATCATCTGATTTTTATAATCTGCTTATATCTCATGTAGGCAAAGAGGTGGCCGTACAGCTTCATTGGCTCAGACAAATCGTGGTGTTGGGTGAGTCATTTTCTGTTCCTGGCACTTTGATACGCTTTGAATTGTAGTTTGTTTTAGCTCAACAAATCCTTTTGTTCTAGTGATATCTCTGGCCAACATTTTGTGCTTGTTTGGCTGGACTTACTATCATATCTATTATCCAATACCTTGTAGACAAGGTTATGGATCAAGCAAGGGAGGAAAGTTAATAGCCCTATATACTAAAACCGTTTTTGTTTCCACCTCTCCATTGTTTGAGAACTGAGGGTGCTAGTGCTCATACACTTTAGTGTTTAACTAGGAAATTATTAACACTTTAGCTCTCCAACTTCCCTTTTGTATAAAATACTCTTTTTGGTGGCTAAGCAGAAAGGGGATTGGTACTTGTCATCTATTCTGCAAAAAGCTCACCCCAGAATTTATTTATAGTACTACAGGCTGGTCTTTCGTCATAGACTCCTGTATTCAATTTTTCAAGACGCCCTCATTTATTTTTCTTTTGAGAATTAGCTTCAACAAATATTTTTTAACATTGCTTTAAAAATCAAATTAATGTGGTGTTGAATTCGTTATATTAAAGTCTTAATGATATACTACCTCTGTCCCATTTTAATTGTCCTATTTGACTTAAAATGTGTGTTTTTTTAGGTCAAATGGGGCAAGTAAAATGGGACGGTGGGAGTATACATTTATATTAGATAAATATATTGTTAAAGTTCAATGTCGAATAGTTTGGTTGCTGTATGATTAAGAGATTATAAACTTGCCTTTATGTCAATTCTTAACTTACACTTTGTTTTGGTTAACAATTGTGTAGAGAAGGAAGGGGTGGAAAAAGATGTATAGAAAGGTTGTGAGGGGAGGGGAATATTGTGGGCTATCATTTTCCTACCAAATCATTTTCAACAATGGAGTGATTTGATTTATCAAGAGGAGAATGAAAATGGATCTGCAAATTTCCTTCCCTTGTCATCCAAATTAGTTGATGTTCCTTACTTTCTCTTCCCTCCCTTTTCTTTTCCAAATATTTTTATCCAAACTTTAGAAAATAGATTAGCCAAGGAAAAAAAAACGAATTAATGTGTGAACTTTGGAAAATAAGATGAGTAACTTCAGTGTTAAGAAAATAGGCTAATTGGATCTTTGGATATGATATTTGGTTATTAGATTTGAAATTTTGGATGTTATAATTTTTTTTCAAATCGGATATGGTTTTGAATGCATTGGCTCTACTTGATAGTTTTCTTGTACTTCTGACTTTTATTGTCGCCACATTTCTTTTATATTCATGTGATACCCTTGTGCTTTTGACTTCTCGTGTTTGCTATACAAACTTTTAGTCTGTCTCAAATAAATTGTCAGGACCTTTGTGGAGAGTTTTATGTGATGATTTTCTGCCTTATCTATATATTTAATATAAAAAAATGTGATGGATAGTGGATAATTTTTTTTTTTTTTTGATAGAATGATAGAGGATGTGAGATGAAGAGATCCTAACTTTGGTAGTTGGAAGAGAAATAATAAAATAAGTCATGCCTTGATAGAAAGTGTGGCGATTAGATGGGATGGACATTTTGACGGTTAATTAAAATAGATAGAGTATTTCATAACACGTGGTACCATTGTACTTGTGACTTTTATTTTAGTTCTCTCACTGTACAATGTAGTAAGTAATAGAAGAATAATGCATGTACAAATATAAAACTTTCTACTTATTAATTTATGAGCTCATTCTTGTATGACTGTTACATTATGTGGTCCAATCTTCCAATGGTAGAAGTCTATAGGTACAAAGAGTACTTTTTCATGAATTTCTCAAAACATTAACATTGCCCCTCCCCCCATTAAAATTCAAGCGGGTACCAAAAAATTTTTAAATCATGTGTACCAAGGGTAATTTTCAAAGCACAATGGCATTTTGTCGCTAAGTTGTAGTATGAGGGTACTATCAATAACATCGACCCCTTTCTCAATGTCACCATTCCACATTATTTCCTAGATAGTTCCATGTCATATGCCAGCAGTCTCTTGAACAATAAGTAGATCAATCCAATTGACATCGCTTTTATGTCAACTTCTTTTGTTTAAATAAATCCCTCCACCCTGCCCCGTGCAGTGTTCACTTGTTGCTTCTTATGTAGCTGTGGTGTTGGTTTTTTTTTTTTTAAAAAAAAAAAAAACTATGTTTATATCAGAAACAGAAAGTAGTTCTATATTCCTTACAAACTTTTGCTTTATTGATAATTTAGTTCCTTGTACTATTTTTGTTTGCTATTTATGAATTTCTTCAAATGTCACTTGATCTATTGGTTTAATTAATTAGGAACTTTTGAATAAGCCATGTTGGATGCTTCTTGTATTTGCCTGCACAAATATATATGTTTTACAAATTACGTGTATATAAACTGTAGTTGCTAGATATTTCATCAACACTCGAGTATAACTTGTTTGTATTTTGAGAGTTTGAAATGTGCAGTTCTGATTTTGTTTTTGTTATTGATTGTGATTTTGCTGACACATGAAGGCAACAAAGAACAAGAGGTGGATTTAGAAATGGCCCAGCACGTGCACAAACGCAAACCCAAGGTGCAGGCCGTGGCCAATCTCGGGGAAGAGGACGGGGTCGTGGAAAGAAGCAGCTAGACAAATCTGCCGAGGATCTTGACAAGGAGCTGGAGACCTATCATGCTGAAGGGATGCAGATCTCGTAGAAAGTTGCATTAATCACTGACACTGGAGTTATGTGATTTACTGCAGTTGTGCTGTGTGCAGATAAATTCTGTGTTTCTAGGGTGGTGGATGTGTGGCTTGCTTGCATGGGAACTTGCTTTTTTGGCTTTTTGCTGCACTTGAGTTAAATTGTTTAAACAGATCTGATTTAGCATCTCTTTTTTATAACTATTAGAAGTTCTATCTTTTCATTATTTTATTTATTTTTGCTGTTTCTTTATCTGCTGCTCATGGGTTCTCCTTCTGGAGAAGACGGAAGAAATTAGGTGTCGGGGAAAAGCTTCGACAACTGCATTGTCATTCCATCGACACTTGATGTCTTGGTGACCTGGTCATTGGGGTTAATGACATGCTCCACTTTGTTATGGCAAGAGTAGCGATCAATGCAAAATCAGCCGGAGAATGGATTTTACAGATTCTCGTTTGATAGTAGTTATTGATGTCTTTAGATTAGAGTAACCTAATGTAGATTTTGATAGGACAATTGTAGCAGGTAGCTCTCATATAGTATGAAAGTGTTTTTGCTAATTTCATTATTGTTCAATCTATATTGTGCTCTTCAAACTGTGCAAGTTAAATCTGAAAGTTCGAAAAAAAATAAAATTACCTTGACAAGCGCAACACCTTATTGCCTACGAATAATGTGAACCATAAACAGTAGAGTACATAACAAATAATGGAAGATGTCTATGGTAATTACTCTTGTTATGTTCTGTCGTTACATTTATATCTCATATTGGTATAAATTTTTTTACTAACATAGAGTATAAATATACCAACAATTTTGTTAGTAGATCTCTATTGGTGTATGTATGTATGGAGGTATGGTTAATTTGTGCAGATAAACGCCACACCTCTTTGCGAGATGGGATACTAACATGCCTTGATTTGCAATAATAATTTGACATACATTAACGAATATGTACTTTGTATTGTGCTTCGTTGTTCAGACTATAGAGTGTCGAAGTCACTCATTCACTTCAAACTTACCAAATTACCCATTTAATACCAGCAAAATGCCTCGTGCTATATGTTCATCTATATATAATGACTATTAATAGTTTACTTTTTTGTAATTTCGTCAGTCGCCATGTTCGCAACAGTTAACATCGTTGGATTTTAGTTAGCAATAATTAATCACATATGTTTAATCAACGACTAAAAACAACTATACTCTAAACATATGCTTAATTTAATAATTTATCACTTCTCATCAAGTAATATCGATGGTTGGTGAGTTGTGGACACCAATGACGTTTACTACACACATTGTCACACTACACAACAAAATTTTACGAGAATTAAAGTATTACTCGTTTATTATTCTATTTCTTTGGTCGTATATTGAGCTAATTATTTATTGACTTTATTCGCTGTTATTTGTTTTCTACATAAACGTTCCTGCACATAACTTAAGGTAAATTATAATTATAATGAAGCTAAGTTTTATTGATAAAAGGTGAATAATTAAAGAATTTGTGTTTACCAAAAAAAAAAAAAATAATAATAAAAAAAAAAATAAAAAAATTGTGAGGTTTTAGTTGATTAAATGTAAATGTTATGTATATTATACTACCTTTGACCCTCTGTTTCTTATTATGTGCAACAAAGAAATATTTTATATCTCACAAATAATGCTTTGTTGCAAAAACAGAGATAGTAAATAAGATTGTGACATTCGTGGACTAAATTAAATGAGAATATAATTACTAAGTATAAACAACAATATAGTGGTGTTCAGTTGATTAGAAGGAAATAAAAATAATACAAATACATCTTTAGAGAACCTAGAGAATAGAGAGTATAGAACATATTTATTTTCTTGTTCTTGTTTTGACCTCGCATGGTAACGTTTGACTATTTATACTTCATATCTTCTAAAAATCAAAGTTGGAAAAACAAAAGAAACAAAAGGAGTATTATTTATACACGTGTAGAGGAAAGAAACCCACACATGGGAAGAAACTAGATGGAAAGAGCATCCAAACATTCAACATAACAATGCAAACTGACTTTCATGCTCTATATAAGATCAACTATTAGCTATAGTTCTTATACCTCCAACACTTAACTATTCAAAAAAATTTCCATTTTCTTTAATTTCTTCCATTTTGAGTTGTATTAAAAAAAAATGGCTACCTCATCATCAATGGCATCCATGAAAGCTCTATCATCATCTCTCAAATATTACCCCTCAAAAACAAAAATATCATCTTTACTTCCTCAAAATCTTAAGATTTGCCACTCATTTTCATCTCAATCTCTAAAATTCACTAATAATAACAACAATCTATCTGCAAAACATGATCAATATAAACACCCGAAGAAGCGTCCGGAAGTCGCTAATTACTATGAGAAAAACAAGTCTCACTTTCAACCTGAGCCGCAGCCTGAGCCTGCTGTTGTTGATTCACGACCAAGTATGTCATCCATCTTCTTTCTCCCTTTTTTAGATTAGTTCAGCATTTACTTCAAAATTGTCTCATTTTTTTTAAATATTTTTGTTGCTTAGTTAATGATATAATGAATTTATGTTTTTTTGTTAGATTTATTTGTTTATTGTTTTTTTTTTTTTGGTGTTTAGAGAGCCACAAGAGTGGGGGTGAGAATCGATACAGGATAACCTGGAATCGGGAGAGAAGCTCTAACCACTTGAGCTATCTCTCACTCTCATTTGTTTATTGTTGAAGTGCTTATGATGACTAGATATTTTGAGTATGGTTGATCTAGATCCGGGCAATATGAAATTAATAATCTCATTCACCACAATTAAAATTTATAATCCTACGTGGCGCGTTAAGAAAATTATATTGTATATATTAGATTGACACGGTCAAATTTCACACATTTTGTTATATACAATAGTTTAACTTTAAAATACAAGTTTATCATTTTTAATAATGTTTATCTAGTACTTTCTCTGTTCTTTTTTACTTGACCTGTTTCTTTTATCACGCTTGCCAATGCAAAGCTTTAACGATCAATAACTTAAATTCTCCATGTAGTAAAAATTATAAAAGTTATATATTATGATAGTACTTATTGAGATGAATCCAAAAACATTATACATCAATATATTTTTCCTTACATATTATTTACAAAAGACAGTCAAATGAGGGGTGGTGAATAGTGTAAAAGTCAAAGCGAGTCAAATAATAAAGAACGAAAGAAGTATAAAATTGTAAATAAATTATTTTTTTTTTATTAAATAAGGGTCTATATTTGTTGATATAATTAAGAAAATGTCATGTTGTTTACTTGTTTGTTCTCTAGAGAAATGTTGATATGATCATACAAAGTATAATTTATCGAGTATAAGTGTGTCAATTACTTTTGAAATGAGGAAGTAAGTTCTTTAGAGAGTTTATTTGCCAATTTGATCAGTAATGATGTAATTGATCTTGCATAAACGGAAAAGAAGGTTTTTTTTTTTTTTTTTTGAAGAAAAGAAGATTAAAATAGAGAGAACATAAATCAAAATTTGAATGAGACTAGGGTTAATGTAGTTCAACCTTTAAGGTCCACACTGTACCTTGTCTTTAATTTCGATAGTGATTTGCGCCAACTTTCATTATAGATCACCATCAAGGTACATCTTACATAGTGGAGAATCTTCCCTGAGCTTTCTAAGGACCAAAGGCTCATTTGTTAGTGAATAATTTCAGAATTATATTTGTCATTGTATTATATATTTTTCTTCTTAATTAGTATAGTTAAAAAAAAAAAAAAAAAAAACTAACTCATACGAATGATCCTTTTTTTTTATTTTTTGAAGCTCAATGAATAATGTATAAAGTCAAAATATTTAAGCTAAAAGTAAGAGAAATTTGCAAAAAAAAAAAAAAAAAACCTTTTTAAAAGACTTGTTTGTGAGAAAGGACCTTATATAAAAAAAGTGGCAGATTAGGACCTTCTTTCAAAAAAAAAAGTTGTGAGATGACACCTTATTTAAAAAAAAAAAAACATTGCGAGATGGGACCATTTGATGGATTTTGTGGCGTGACGAAGGTGTTTTTGGGGGTTGGTGTGGAATTTTAGCGAGGTGGAGGTGGTATTCGGAGGTTTATGTAGAATTTCGGCGGGTGAAGGTGGTTTTCGAGGGTCGGGGTGAGATTTCGGCATAGTGGAGATGATTTTTTTTTTTTTTTTTTTTGGGGGGGGGGGGTAAGGTGTGGGATATGAGTGAGGTGGAGGTGGTTTTCAGGGTCGGTGTGGGATTTACGCAAGGTGGAGGTGGTTTCCGAGTGTCTCATCTTAGATTTTTTTTTAAGGTCTCAATCTGCCACCCTTTTTTTTTTTTATTTTTTTTTTATTTTTTTATAAAAGGTCATTTCTTACAAACAACTCGCTATAAAAGATCCTTTCTCGCAAATTTTACAAAAAGTAACGATTAAAGTATAAGAAATTCTTACATACTGTATTAGTTAAGTATTTATAGAGTGTACTTCTAACTAGCTATTGAAGTTTGAATCTGACCCCTAATTTTTAGTCCAAGATCCACCGTTGTGTACCCAATACATTGTATGCATGGTACATCCCTACATCAACACATAATGTACATACATACTCTTAACATGTCTAATTGAACAATGTGTATGTATTCAGCTAAGGAACAAAAGTTGTGTGTGTACGAGATAAACGAGAGAGACAGAGGAAGTCCAGCATACCTAAGACTAAGTCAGAAACAAGTTAACTCACTTGGAGACCTCGTACCATTCAGCAACAAGATCTACACCGGTGACCTGCAGAAACGGTTAGGAATGACAGCAGGTTTATGCATTTTAATCCAACATGTACCGGAAAAAAAAGGTGACAGATATGAAGCAATTTACAGCTTCTACTTTGGGGACTACGGACACCTGTCAGTTCAAGGGCCCTACTTAACATACGAGGACACGTGTTTGACTGTTACTGGAGGTACAGGAGTTTTTGAAGGAGTTTATGGGACAGTTAAATTACAGCAGTTAATTTTCCCATTTAAATTGTTTTACACATTTAGTTTAAAAGGGATTAAGGATTTACCTAAAGAGTTGGTGACAAAAGCTGTGACTCCTTCTCCTGCTGTTGAGCCTTCTCCTGCTGCTAAAGCTTGTGAGGCACATGCTGTTGTCCCTAATTACACTAATTAAGGGCTTAATTAGAGTGATTAGTGTTAGATGGTCAATAAAAGACAAAGTGAATGAGCTGTGTTTTTTTCAAATAAAAACTTTGTAATGAGATTAATGAGGTACTAATCATGTGGTTTATTTTAAAGGTATTGTAAGGGTTTTGTTATTTATTAGGGAGAATTTTGATTCTAAAAAATCCCATTTTTTGCCAATTCGCCGTTAAAAATCAAACTTTTAGTTTAGGGGGATTTTTCTACGTGGTTGGTCACACCGTATGGCCGGGGTTATTGGAGTTACTCGAGTTACTTTTGACCGAATAACCCCTCAAGAAACCCCTAACCGAGTAACTTTAGTAAATTCACTCTAAGCGAGTAACCCCTGACCGAATAACCCCTTGAGTAACTCGAATAACCCCGACAACGTGGTTTGGTCAACTACATAAAACAATTTGCCCATAGGTTATTATCTAATAATCCCACCTCTTTAGGATAATTTCTTCTACCAGTCCCTAGCCTATTAATAATCCTACTATTAGACTATTATCTTAGCAGTTTAATTCTAAATCCAAAAAAAAAAAAGTTATCTTTATAATGAAATAGGATAAAACCCCGTGCAATAGATGCACGGTTGTTCAATTGTCATTTAAAACGAATTTTTAACTAAGGTCACACGTAAAATTATACGAAGTATTGAACATTTATTATTTTTTTTATAGCCACATATAAAATGAATTTTAGAAAGTTGGTTTATATTTTATGTAAAACAAATGTAATAATTGAGTCAAATCTTTTCTTAAAGTAGTTAAATCTTTTCTTAAAGTAATAATTTTCTTAAAGCAATGATTATTGGAGGTTTTTTTTTAGCAAGTGTTATTGGAGGGAAAATTTTTAACACAATGCTGCCAAGTGTCTTTATGGTTTCGTCTTTAGTAATATGTAATAGATTCTAAATCCAAAAAAAAAAAAAGTTATCTTTATAATGAACTAGGATAAAACCCCGTGCAATAGATGCACGGTTGTTCAATTGTCATTTAAAACGAATTTTTAACTAAGGTCACACATAAAATTATACAAAGTATTGAACATTTTTTATTTTTTTAATAGCCACATATAAAATGAATTTTAGAAAGTTGGTTTATATTTTATGTAAAGCAAATGTAATAATTGAGTTAAATCTTTTCTTAAAGTAATAATTTTCTTAAAGCAACGATTATTGGAGGGTTTTTTTTTAACAAGTGTTAATTGGAGGGAAAATTTTTAACACAATGCTGCCAAGTGTCTATTTGGTTTCGTCTTTAGTAATATGTAATAGATAGATAGATATGGACGATATATAGGAAATTTTGACAAAAAGAAGCGTGATGGTGGAATTTTAATTTCTTAGCAATTTCCATGGAAATCACTCCAAACATTATTCCTTCAAAATGATTATTTGCATACAGCAGGATCACAACAAGATACAGAATCTGCAATCTGAGTAATGATAACAAAATAACATGATATTTTATTTGCCTATCACCAGTATTCACCACTCTTATCAGATTCCCAGAGAGCTCCCAACTAACTGAAACTTGACAATGGAACTTTCAAGGGAGGGGGAGGTACAGAAAACCATCGCCAAGAGAACTAAAGGGGTTTGATCCCACAATCTCTAAGTCACAGCTTATCACCAAACTAAGCTTTGCTAGGTTCATAAACACGGATTTGGAGCATAGCGAAAAATTATATACAGCATAAATACATTTAATGTATACATGCAACAGCACACATTCTGTGGCATTTAGTTCAACACTTGGTTAAAATTTCAGCACCAGTCTTTGTAATCAAGATACTATGCTCAAACTGTGCAGCAGGACTGCCATCATCTGTAACTGCCGTCCAGTTATCACCCCATGTAATACAATCGATGCTTCCCATCGTAAGAATCGGTTCTGCATATAAAAAGGGTGAAATTAAGATTCACTGAGAAACATATTGAGGTGTTCTCTGGCATAAATAAAAATGATTTTGGAGCTAGGCTATTAGTGTAGACAGATAAATGTAAGCTCAATCAGCAAAGTAATGCAAACCATAGCACCTAATCAATGCAAAAGAACAGAAGCATTCTTAATTTCTTTCTGATAGATAAAAATAAATTCAAAACTTTAAACCAATTGGAAACATGTAAAATTAACATTCTTGTGGGTGATGGGGAAACATTGTGCGTGCTTGGCTGTATCACTAGTTAAATTCAGACAACAGGTTTTAGATATCCATATTGAAATAGATCAGATACCCTTACCAATTGTAAACGTTTGACCTTCAACCATTTCACCTCGATGATTATTTCCTGTCAATTTAACATACAGAATAAATTTAGAGAGGCAATGAAGCATCAAAGAAAGATAATAATTTTTAGTGATCAAACTGATGGTGTGAATGAAACATTTAGGTATGAAGAGTAACCATACTGCATACAGTTTCTTGCATACCTTTAGCTATATGATTCACAAATAGATACCTATACTAGTAGTATATCAATAAAAGGTTACTACATACCATTGATACATGCACTGAACAACAAAAATACAACAGGGTATGTGATAACTGACATGTGCTACATTTGCCCATCTACCAAAAATGTACTCATAGTAAGCTTAAGGCCGAATATGTAAAGCCAGATGCTCATGCCCACATTGGAACTTCATGTCTACTATAGCCATAGTGACAGTGTTAGTAAATATAAGTTCCAAAATCTAGAATTCCATTAGAACTTTTCTCCTTAATTCACCTTAAGTTGTTGCCAATTTATATAAGAAAAATTAACTAACAACATTAGAAGCATAAAAATAAAATAAAATAAATATATAAAAAAAAATTAAAAAAAAAAAAAAATGGTAATCTATGGTCTCCTTAATATATAGAGAACTGCTGTTGCTAATCTTTAATTTCCAAAGCATATATATATATATATATATATATATATGTATATATATATATATGTATATATATATATATGTATATATATATATATATGTATATATATATATATACGTATATATATATATACATACGTATATATATATATATATATATATATATATGTATATATATAACAAAAGCACTATATTTTGAAAAAGTAGCCTCAATCGCTGTCTTCTAGAAGCCCAATAAAGCTCTTAAAAGCACGATACTTCAATAGTTCAATGACTTTCTTTGATATCTCTATCTTTTAAGTCTCTCCAAGATCCATAAGCAACACATTAACCTCAAAGTTAGCAACAGTCAATTAACCTACGCACACTAAAATAAGAAACATAAAACCTGCTGCATTCTAAAAAAACCAATAAAGGGAGGGGCTGCCAAGTGATACATCTGAGACAATAAAACATAAGATATTCATTTCTCAATAATTTAACTCTATCGATCACAGATGGTGTATATATAATCTATAAGCTCTGACAAAAGTAAGTGAAAAGCATCATCTCCATGGTTTTGTTAGTTGATGATAAAGAAAGTATACAAAGTACTCTCCATGGTTTTGTTAGTTGATGATAAAGAGAGTATACAAAGTACTCACTATGATGGTAAATAATTGGCTCGGAATGAAAAACAGTTCCAACACCATGGCCAACAAAACGATCCACCACACCATAATTATGCTTCTCAGCATGCTCACTGTTAAGCATATTTGAAAACAGCATTAGACAGAAACAATCAGACACATTTTGGACTAGATTTCTAGCATAAATCACAGGAAAATGAGCCAAGATTGCACAGATTACACCATTCCCATCAGGCGGCTTAAGCATGTGATGCAAGTGGCCATTAATTAGTAGAGGCAAACAAGCCAATCTACTAAAATATGGAAAAATTAAGGCTATGTTTAGTTCAACTCAAATAAGTTCAAATCAGATCAGATAAGAAAAATTAAGTTCATATGAAAAATAAAAAAATAAAAAAAAAGTTATAAACCTACATATATCGTTTTATAGATAAGAAAAAAAATTAACCTGGGAGCACGAAAAGTACTACTGAAAATGTTTAGTAGTACTTTTTTACTTCTCAGTAGTACTTTCAATTTGCAATTATTTACAAAATTGCCACTGATATGTATTTATTTGTGCATGACTGTTATGCCTTTAAACTCCCATGTTGGTCCAAATTAAAACCCAATTGATATTAATGTAACATGACTAACATCATATCTCAGTTGGGTAATCACATAATTCTACCAAGATATCTAACCATGGGCCACACTACACTATTAAAAATTCAGCTGAAGACCAGGGAGTGATAAATAATCTAATGAACTAAAATATGATGATCATATGACACATAAAACTATTTTGTCCACTAAATTAATAAAAGCTAGATAAACAAAAAGTTTAGACACATCATTGCCTCGCCCTTTGTTGTAAGGTAAAACATTGTAGTGATCAACTCATTGGTAATCATTTCCTTGTCATACCTTAGGCATTTGTTTCCAAAAGATTTAAGATAGAACCCGCACAAAATAAAACAGGTTAGAAACTAAAAAAAAGAGGGTTTTTTTAGCCAAAGATGCTTTCAATAACTGATTTAAGAGGATATCACATTGCTGTTACTGAAAGTTGTTCCTAAAGTACAATACACTTCTATTGATCCATATACACTGCAGGCATTAACATATATGTTCCAAGATCCACATTTTTCATACAGTAGTTGACTAAGCACTAATATTTTCCAAGCAGGTACCTGATAGTCTTTCCAATTTTCCTGAAGCTAGCACCATCTTTGCATACAGCTATTCCTTTCTCTAAACATTCTTGTGTTACCTAAGAGTAGATCATGTAACAACTATTATAAGGCCAACTTAGAAGCAGAAGAAACAAGACATTTTCCACAGACACTACAATAATCAGCAAAAACAAGCACTAAAATCAACATTTTTTTTAAGTGTATTCCAGGAGGAATAATGATCTCAAGTATATGAAAACATGTAAACCTTTAAGAATTCATCCACGACAAGACTATACCTTCACAAGCCGTTTCATTGCATCATTGACATTACCACATAAATATGTCTTTGATGTGTCTCCATGATAACCCTAGTAAAAAATAATAAACAAAGGATTAAACACTCATTGTCTCATTGACCTGAGAAACACGAATATTACTCTTCACAAACAGCAAGCCATCGGTGACTG